GGGGAACTCTGTGCCTGCGGCCTTCATACTCCGGTCTCCTGCCCGCGAGGCCGCCGCGCGCCGCCTTCGACCCCGCCCTCGGACCGCGGGCCGACCATCCGCGCTCTCCCGGGGCCTCTGAGGAACCCCGGTTCCGTTCAGAAGCTCCGCCCCTTCCCTAGCTCCGCCCCCTCCATAGCTCCGCCCCTCCATAGCTCCGCCCCTTCTCCAGCCCCGCCCCTTCTCGCTGACTCCGCCCTCAGGCCTGCGCCGCCGCCAGTTGTGTGGTCAGTGCCTCCAAGCTCTGAGGACCTGGTGTAAAGATAATATATTCTCTCTTTGGGTACTGAGGTGCTTAATAATCTCAGAGCAAATTCTGCTAAATAGAGGATATTTTTAATTCTACTTTTGATATATTAAAGGAGAAAAAATTTCAGCCCAGATATTTTTTCTTTAACTCAGTATACCTTTCTTTGACATGTAGTTTTAGAAGACAAAGCTCATCAAGAAAGTTGTCTTTATTTATGTTTATTTAAAACATTTCACTTAATTTAAATGTTGTAAAAGTGTAGGCTTCTTGACTCTATTCCACTCTATTCTGGAACAGAATTCCTATTTGTCCAATCAAAATAGGAGTTCCATCAAAAGATTTTTCCCAAGTGGAGATATTTCAAAGTGCAATTATGGAATTAAAAAATTAAACCTTGTGTACCATTTAAACTAATATTGTTACATTTGTCCACTTCCTTGCTTTTATAGGGACAAATTTCATTGCTTCTCTGTTTATAAGCTTTGTGTTCAATATCCTTAATTCCCTAAAACTTTTCACAAGCTGAAGTTTTTTTGTCTTCCATTTGTTGAATGCCTTGATTAAAGATTTCAATACTGCCCGGCCGGGTGTGGCTCAGCAGTTGAGCATCGACCTAGGATCCAGGAGGTCAGGGTTCGATTCCCAGTCAGGGCACATGCCCAGGTTGCGGGCTCGATCAATGACTCTCTCATCATTGATGTTTCTATCTCTCTCCCTTCCTCTCTCTGAAATCAATAAAGATATATTTAAAAAAAAAAAAGATTTCAATACTTTTAAATAAAATGCAACCAAATATAGAGAATTTGATTACCAAAAAAGTTATTGTACAATGAGATCCAACCCCGCACTTATCAGAATAGAATGGCTGTTGTCAATAAATCCACAAACAGCCCGGCCAGGCTTGGCTTGGCGGTTGAGCATCGACCTAGGATCCAGGCGATCAGGGTTCGATTCCTGGTTAGGGCACATGCCCGGGTTGTGGGATTGATCAATGACTCTCATCATTGATGTTTCTATCTCTCTCTCCCTCTCCTTTCCTCTCACTGAAATCAATAAAGATATATTTTAAAAAAGTAATAATAAAATAAATAAATCCACAAACAAGTGTTGGCGAGGGTGTGGAGAAAAAGGAACCCCAGTGCACTGTGGATGGGAATGCCGATTGGTGTAACCACTGTGGAAAAGTGTGGAGTTTCCTCAAAAAATTAAAAATGGAATTGCCTTATGACACAGCTATTCCACTTCTGGGAATATATCTGAAGAAACCTGAAACATTAATTCAGAAGAATATATGCACCCCTGTGTTCACTGCAGTGTTATTTACAGTGGCCAAGATATGGAAGCCAAATGTCCATCAGTAGATGAGTGGATGAAAAAGCTGATGTCCACTTACACAATGGAATGCTACTTGGCCATAAAAAAGAATGAAACCTTACCTTTTGTGATAGCATGGATGGTTCTAGAGGGTATTATGCTAAGTGAAATAAGTCAGACAAAGACAAATACCATATGATTTCACGTATATATGGAATCTAAAGAACAAAATAAAGTAGAAATAGACTTATAGATACAGAGAACAGACTGACGGTTTTCAGAGGGGAGGGGTCAGGGGATCTGGACGGAAAAGGTGAAAGGGGTTGAGAAGTACAAATTGGCAGTTACAGAGTAGTCACAGAGATGTAGATTTCAGCATAGGGGATAAAGTTAATAATATCATGACAACTATGTATGGGGCAGATGGGTCCTTGAAGCATCAGGGGAGCACTCTGTAAGGTACATGATTTTCTAACCACTTTGCTGTACATCTGAAACTAATACAGAATAATATTGAATGTAAACTGTAATTGAAAAAAATTTAAAAAGTCTCATACCATTGTCGGCTGCTTAGGTTGATTTAAAAAGTAACTTATTTAAAGAATCAAGCACTTAAAAAATCCAATTGATAACAGGCAGCAAAGAGTAAACAATGCTGTGCTGAAATGCTGTTTTTATTCAGCAGCAGCTTCATCGCAACAATTTTCCAGTTCAGGTATTTTATGTGTACTTATATTAAATATGTAAAAATCACTCTATTTTTATTGGCAAATTATTAAAGCTTATTTTGGACAGATTTATATATTATGTGTGAATTACATATGAATACCCCATGGATTTATTAATTTAGTAAACATTGTTTTCACCACAATTTTGATTTCAGATTTCTGGCCTCTGGGACTGTGAGAGAATAAATTTCTGTTGTCTTAAGTCACCAACTCTGTGGTAATTTGTTATAGCAGCCTCAGGAAACAAATACGTATACCTTTATAATAGTGCTTATCACATGTAACTTTAGGGTCTCCTGCACTGAACCATACATTTCTTAATGACAGCTTATTTATCTTTATAGTTCTAGCTTTCAGCATAGTACTTGGAATAGACATTCAATTTTTGGTTGAATGAATAAATGATGCTAATGCATTAGGTTTTCATTTTTATAGAGTAAGGACTTGGAAAAGTATAAATATATACTTGAACAAGTATAAATTTATTTCATTAAATTAAAATTAATGCAAGTCACAAGCCTCTATTTTTACTGGGTAATGGAAAACTCTGTCTTTCCCATTCAACGTAGCTTAGTTTGCTCTGGTTTAAGTCTCCATCTCTTTCAGAATTCTCTGCCCTTTTCCTCAGAGGTACCTCAGGTGGCCCAAGTTCCCAAGAGATTGCTATAGACTGAATGTCTGTGTCTCCACAAAATTCATATGTTGAAATCTAATCCCCAATATGATGGTATTAGGAGGTGCGGTCTCTGGGAGATGATTAGGTCATGAGGATGGAACCCTCGTGAGTGGGATTAATGTGCTTATAAAAGAGACCCCAGAGGGCTCTCCCATCCCTCTACCATGAGTGGACACAGTGAGAAGACACCCATATACTAGGAAACAAATCCTCCCTAACCACTGAATCTGTTGACACCTTGGTCTTGGACTTCTCATCCTCCAGAACTCTGAAAAATAAATTTCTGTTTATGCCATTTTGTATAGCAGTTCTGTGGCCTGACCAGTCCCTGAAGAGGTGTGGCTCTCTCTACCTGACCCTTGGGCTTCAGCCCTTACAGCCATCGCTTCACTTGAGTTCACTGTGATTCTGCTGAAACATCAGATTGTCACGACCATTCCCTTTACTCTGCATCCTCTGGAGCTGCTGGCTGCTTCTCAGCCACTCTGCACACTTCTCAGGAAGCTTGGGAATGCAGAGTGGGACTTTGGTGGGACTTCCTGGGCCCAACAGTCAGTTTTCAGATAAATGAGGCTTCTCCACAAGATTTATACCATTATGGACAATACTCTGAGAAGCTGGGCAGTGTTCCTTCTGCTCTGGGATCTCCCCCTAACCTTCCTGAGGTTTTTATAGAAGTTTCTATAGTCTTTCTGCCCCCTTGCTCCCAGGAATCAGCCTGTGGCCTGGAGGGTCAGGCCTCTTCTCAGGGATCTTCCAGTTTATGTAAGGTGGTCACAGCCCCTCTGATTCTCCCTTTTGTACTCCTCGGTCAAACTCTTATTTTAATATGTTTTTTTATTGATTTTTAGAAAGAGAGGAAGGGAGAGGGAGAGAGAGATAGAAACATTGATGAGAGAGAAACATTGAATGGCTGCCTCCTGCACACATTCTACTGGGGATTGAGCCCCCAACCTGTGCAAGTGCCCTGACTGGGAATCGAACCAGTGACCTTTTGGTTCATGAGTTGATGCTCAACCACTGAGCTGCAGCAGCTAGGCACAAACTCTTATTTTATTTGAGGACTGGTGTAGCAACTCATATCATCACACTGTGAGTATATTGTATAAAATCTGTGCTCCAGGTCCACCAGGATTTGGCTTCCCATACTTAAGGCCTAGTTTTCCAGAAATAAAAAACAAAAGAAGACAAAAAATTAACTCCCTTCCTTCTAAAAAAACAAAACAAGAAGCCATTCTTTCTCAATTTCCTGGTTTTGATAATTGCAAATAAGGGCAGTACATACAGAAAACTCCTGCTTGAGTGGTGGCATGTGAGAGCGGTCACAGTGAAGAAAGGAAATGGAAAATATGTAGTTCAATGATAAAATATTACTCTATTATTCTAATATGGCAAAAGTATCAGACTAAGATCATAGAAAGTAAAATAATTACCTGGAGTCTTAAAAGAGAAGGATTTCCTGAAAGAGGAGCTATTTAAAATGTTAGTGATGAATGGACAGAAACTGACATTTTGAAGTATGGTAAGTATACACATTTTGTTCCTTATGTATTTCAAGTCTCTACAGATCATCAAATCGATAAAAGGAGTAAGCTGGTACTTCATAATCTAGAATATTGAGATCATAAGTAATATCGGAAACTACACATCGAGTCCTTATGCTAAGCAGCCTGGTATTATTTCTGACATTGAGCCAAAACATGTTATTTGGGAGACGGAGTTTCCCTCTGTTACATAGTCTTTAGAAGTTAAGGGATCTGCCTGAATATAATTTTCCCTGGACATAGTAATGGTGCCGTCACAGAATCAGTGAGAAACTTAAAATATGAAGTGACTAATTTCTATCTTAGAAACAGAACTGCCTTTATAACAAAGATGACTGTAGGAGACAAAATAATGAAGCTTAGGTTTTTAGTGAGTTGAGTTGGGAGAAGAAGAAAAGTTCTGATATCCACGCTGAGGCCATGACTAAAAAATTCAGATTCATACAATTCCTGAATGTCAGCTGCACACTTGGCATAGTGCTATGTGAGTGCATATTAGAGGGGTCGGGTCACAGGAGTACATGATAGATAGAGAAGGGTCTCAAGG